ATTCATTCTCCCAACAGAAATTCGGCTGGCACCCTCGCTGGGTGTTTTTAAAAGCCAGTTAAAAACTTGGTTATTCAAGAAGGCCTTCCCTCCAGTCAATTAAGTCTTTCTCTTTTTTTTCTTTGCTATTCCATCTTGGTAATCCTCTCTTTAAATTAATTGTTTTAAATTGAAATTGTAGTTGTAATTTTATGATTTTATATATTTTTATACTGTTTTGTTTTATTTTGTAAGCCGCCCCAAGTAGACATGGACGGGGGGGGGGTTAAAAATCAAATAAATAAATAAATAAATAAATACATATTTATTTACTTAATTTAATTTAATTTATATGCCGCCCACTCTACCCAAAGCTCTCTGGGCGGCTTACAACAATTAAAATTCAATTAAAATACAATAAAAAATAAAATGATTAAAATACAATTAAAATTGCTATCAGGACCCACAGTTGATGTTATTTCATGTTATTTTAACAGTTAAAAGGAGTAAAAATGAAACACGCTGGCAAAGTAATATTAAGAAATAACTAATCCAGCACAACAGGTGAAAATAACAAATTCAGTTACTACTGGCTTCTTTTATCTAATCCAGTACTATTTATAATTATGTACAGGACTGAAAATGTAAAGACTAGTTGGTGTTTTTCTCTTTTTCACCAACTTTGCCTATCTTATACTCAGATAGGATGGATACAACTCTTGCATTTACTGTCGGTACTTGTTTTCTCTAACAATGCAGGGCCAAAAATGGCTAACTTTCCAGGTCCTAATAAGTCTATGAGCTCCTGCAAGTGACAGCTAATACCATTACGTCACCCAATGGGCCCCATTTTATTGTCTACAACCCGCATGCCCATCACAACATGACTACAAGAATTTAAGATCAAGCTTTTTTTCTCCCCACCTTAATTCATGAACATTTTTCATTACCAGACAAAACGTAGCAAACGTACACTTTTTTGTGTGCCTTTTTGGGTTGGCCAAGGATCCCTTCAGCATGCATTGTGAAACCAGTTTATATTAAGTGATCTCATGCAAATACGTGGAGTGACCAGAGATATTTTTTTTAAAAAAATTGTAGAGAGGAACAGGAAGATTGCATACCAGGTTTCAGCTGCTTTGACTTGGCTCTTAAGAACATTCCTCCTCCACCCTGTTCCTTCAGGCTTGATTTGTCAAAATTGATTCTAAAAATTGCTAAAAGGGTCAGGGGAGTGAGCATGCTAACAAGGGACGATTTGGCCACTAAACAGTCGTCCCAGAGTCACATTCCACAGATCAAAGTCTCTCAAGTGGGTTTCTAAGCTATTGTTCAGATTTATTCAGGGGAAACCACTGGGTGGTGGTGGAGATCACCTTGAGAGCAACTTAGGCCTCTGTTAATTTTACTTTCAGAGCATGTGAGAAGAGAGATTTCCCAGAAACAATCAAGCAGGACAGAAGGGCATTATTATCCTATCGCATCAACCTCCCTACGTCAAAGCAGCGTTAACCGGCCAGCAAAACTTAGCAATCCTCTCTTAAAAAAAAAAGACGAGGAAGGCTTCAGAAATAGCAACTGAATAAGTATGAAGGGAAAGTTCACTGAGTCAGTCAGTTAACTCATTGGACTGATGATGAATTAATCGCTAATGGCAAACCTAAAAGCAATGCCAAACCGAAATCTTGTTAGGCGTTTGATGCTCTGCTGCCCTCGGCTGCTGACTGTCAGGCCACACTTCAGCCCTCACGGCAAGGAGCCAGTAGGCTGAGCGTAGCGGCTACGTAACTGCCACTGTCCAGCTTCCCAAGCAATCGATGAATCCCAGAAACCTAAAGGGAATCACGTTGGGATCAGGATGGTAAAAAATTCAGCTTGTAGGCATTTTGGAATGAAAGAGATTCAGGTATTTGCAGAAGGAACGTTACTATCATTAAATAATCTCCTTTTAAGCTGCTTTCTTAAGCTTGCGGGGGCAGAAATGACACAGAAAACTCAAGTCCTCCATCAGGGAATTGGGGTGATCCTTTAGTAAACACTAGGTTTAGCCAATTGGGGTCAGATGAAAGTCAAAGTAATATTACCTAGTGGTTGCAGTCTTGCTTCACTGATGTTGAGAGTCTATGTGTCTTCTTGATGGTACGGGACGGGGTCTACTCAAAGAAAGCCCAAATGAGAAAGTGTGTGCGTGTGTAAATGGACTGTGCCTCTTTGACGAACTGGGATGTGATATCCAATCCACAGTTGCCTCAGCTGTAACTGTGAAACAACAGCTGTAATGTAGCCCGCATCTTTTCTGACTTACATCTAAAACTAACTTCACTGGCAAAATCCATCCTGCCATGAACTTTTGAACTTTTAGGTTCTTTACACTTGCACCCGCCTGACAAAATGGATGGTCCTGATCCACAAAAGCTCTCGGATCGTATGATGATTATTTTAGCAATCTATAAGGATGTCTTATATATTAATCTATAAAGAGCCTGATGATTATTTTAGCAATCTATAAGGATGTCATCTGCTCTTGCATTTGTATTTTGTAATGACCACATGGCTATCTTTTATTTCAATGCTATGCTCTATTATGCTTGCAATGTTTTTTCCCCCCAAAATTCTTTAAGTTTGCAAGCCACCTTGTGAATGCTCGTATAAGCCTGAAATACAGTTTCTTTAGTGCCTAAATAAATAAACTGCTGCACAGCATAAGGTCCTATTCAAGGCACAAAAGCTGTAGTTTTGCCAGAATATATCATACCAAAAGATCTTTCACGCATTGTGACACCATTTTTTGGCTCCACGTGGGTTGGGTGTCACAATGCAATACATATTTTTAAGACACATTTCTCCTGTAAAGGAGTAACCCTTAATCAATCCAGGCTTGCAAATAATACTACAAACTACTCAGCCACCTGCCAAACTGCTATCTTGTCCTATAAATGAATGCTCATAGGGATGAGGGTGTTGAGTTGAGATGTGTTACTATGCTGTTTGGTTAAAGCTATTGATTTTACACAGCTAAACAGGGTATAATCTGGCTAAAATTGGGGAGAGTCAAAGGAAAGGGCTTGTAGATTTCATTACCAGACCACTGAATTTCCCCTGTGCATTTTTCAAGCACTTACATAAATCTTGAATTTCCCCTGTGCATTTTTCAAGCACTGTGGTGTACTTACTGAAGTTGATGGCTGTGTTTTAATGTACTCCAATGATAATCAAAATAAGACCGGACCCATGGAAAAGAATGGAACTTATTAGTTATCACTTACATAAATCCCATTGCATTCAATGGATCTGTCTTACTTGGAACGAATCTGGAATTTAACCCCAAGTGTTAAGCTCTTTGAGGTCCAAGACTAAATTCCTGTGTGATCCTTTTAACCCCAAGTGTTAAGCTCTTTGAGGTCCAAGACTAAATTCCTGTGTGATCGACCATACAGTATTTGGAACACTGAATTAGGGCTGCCAGGTGTTTCTCATTCTGATGAACTCATCTTTGGATAGCAGACACATTTAATGTAAGAAGAGCTGCAGTGAATCAGAAGACTGCTCTATCTTGACTAGCACTCTGTGGACAGCTAGATGTCCATAGAAAACTCAAAACAAGATTTCAGTGTCATAGCATCCTCCCACTCATGTTACCTAGCAACCGGTATTCAGAAGCATAATACCTTTGATACTGGAGGGAATGTATGACCCTTGTGAGTCAACTGACAGACTAATCTGCACTCAAGACTCAGAATTCTGACTTACTTGAGCTTTGATAAGCTCTTCTCAGAATTTCTTATGGAATGAGCTGGGAAGAATTTGAAGTTGGAAAAAGCTAAACTAACAGATTTGCCCATTGCTAGTCTGAAGAAAGCACATATTTCCTAGATGTGATTGTCCTCATAGTTCTCTCATTCCTTCAGCTTCTTGCTTTTCAATAGCAAAGGAACCTACTCAGGAAAAGGGTTACAATCATAATAGTCATACTTATAAATATGCACACATGTATAGAAATTCTACACTCATTCATATCAGCAACACATATAAATCAGACTGAAGCCCCCAAGCAATACTCAACAAATTCCTAACATAAAAAAGCAATGCTTCTAATAAAAACATTGTGACTTCACTAACACAATCAGCCTTCAGAGATAATAAATGCTGTGTAGTCAGGAGGATGACAAACTTCTTTAACCTCACACTTTTGTATTGGTCGTCCGCCCCGACCATTAATGACACAAAAGGAAGCTTTGGTTTATCAACCCATGCAAAGCATTATTAGAAAATAGAAGAGGGCAAAGAAAAATTGGGAGAAACTATTCCATATTATGGAATACTTACTTCCATATTATTCCATACAATATTATGGAAATACCTTTAAAGGTTGCAAACTTACAATGAGAACTGATTTAAAAAAAATAGAAATAAAATAAAAATGCTTTCTGCCTAACAGCTGAATCGCTTAGACTTAATCTTTATAAAAGAAAACTCAAACGAAAAAGAATACACATGCACTTGTGTTAGTCAGAAGAAGGTTGTGAAATGGCTCTTTACAATACCTAAAAATAGCTTGGTGTTTCTCCTTTTTGGTAAAGCTCCACCAGATGCCCCTGTTACCTTCTGAAAAGAAAGAAAAAGGGGAGAGATAAAGAAGAAGAAGAAAAGTTAAAAGTCTAACTCGTGTTACTATAAGAAAAGAAAATTACTCTCATGCTTAAAAAAAAATTGGCCTCAACATCAAATTAGCTTGGTTATGAATACTCTGGTATAAAACATGAACTGTTTCACCAAGTGACTCTATCCAGAACCTGCTTCTATGCCCTCCTAAACTGATTTTTATAAGGGCAAACTTTAAGGGCAAACTTTAAGTGTTAATAATATCATCATCATTAATCATAGTTGGCAGGACAGCCAAATATATTTTCTATGGTGTATGGAGGCAAGAAAACCAAAGGCTTTAACAGATAGTTAGAAGAGTAGATTTAAACAGCTGCAGGCTCTCGTCTCCTTATCCAACAAGTTGCACCTGCTAAAGCTCTATCTTCCAGCTACCAGTTTTGAAAGTTCTTTGCCTTTAGTCACTCAGAGTCTAGACAAACCCAGGACATAGTGGAAAAAAGCTGGTGTAATTAGCCCAAGATCCTTGATTAGAGTATTCATTCCAGAAAAGTCACGGGAAACCACTACAGTATAACACTGATCAAGTGCTTCCATGCTTGCTAGGAATGGGGAATATAATCTAACATACCTGGAGGTCACCAGATAAATAAATGAAAAATAGAATAGGGCTCCTGTACCTTTAGTGTATAAAGGAGGAAAATTCAACACACATAGCTTCCATTAAAAGCGGCACCTGCTAAGCTACTATTAAATCTACAGGAACTCTTGTCTTCTCTTTCATCTGGCCACTCTACCAGAGAAGGGAGACTACTGTAGACTTTAAAACTAGTCAATATCATCATGAACACAGCTGATTTCATCTGAAATGAAGGAAGACCATGTCCTGATTAACATTTCATGGGGAACCACCAGGGAAGAGCAGGGATCTCCCAGTAGGGTGAGGAATAAATCCTGCTTGAAATACTGCCACTTAAGAGTCAACAACAGCGGGCTATGTGGATTACAGTTCTGACTCACTTCAATGCAGCTTCCTAGGAGTAGAATCCTGTGGCTTCCCAGTAGGGTGTAACACTCGGCCAGCTAAGCTCTGTGAAACCTCCGGCTTGCACTGCAGAAACTGGAGACTGCCTTGCCAAAACAAACAGGGCCTACACTTAAGCAAGGAGGTACTGGATTCCGACCACAGGCTCTTCAGAAGTTGTTCAATTTATATATCTGGCTGTTGCATAAGAGCTGTGGTTGGAGAGGGTTCAGTTCTATGTTGTTTAAAAAATGTCCTTACTACTCTGAACTAAATGTGTGCAGTTTTGTACATCTGGCCTCTAGTATAGCTATCTAGGAAATGTTGGGAGTCATAATCCAAACTTGTACCTCTGAAGATTCTGCCACAAATATACCTCATGTTATTCGATTTTGATAACTAAAGCGGGATTAGGCCTGGATGGGAAATCACTGGAGAATACCAGGGATCTACAGATAGGGTTATGAAACAATCCTGCCTCAGCTTTAGAGAAATGCTGCTAGTTAGAATCAACAGTACTTGGCTAAATATGCCAATGATCTGACTCCTAGTTTCTTAAGAGTAATTATTTTCTTTTACACAAGCAATCAAGGTAAAGATAGTTTGGGGTGGGGAAACGGCAAAAAAATCTCTAAAAGACTTCTCATCAAACACATTTATGTAACACTCTGGAGAAATATGAACCAATATTTATAGTGTTATATATTACTACTAATAATCATCATCTTATAACTGCAGAGCTGTAAGGGACCCTATGGATCATTGACACCAGCTTCTGTCGCAGTGGGGAATCAAACTCCCAACCTGTGGCTCCCCAATTAGATATCTAAGCCACTGAGTGTTGTCTATCCAATAGCTTAGGTATAAATCCCCCAACACGTTATATTTTGTTGAGCATCACACTTCTTGCGACAATAAGCATATGTTTTAGAGTAACTACCGTATGCCAAAAGCTCAGGAGGTCTGGAATCTTGTAAACTTGCCGAGAAAGCAGAGTCAATGGACACCATGACAGAAACATTTTCATAAGACACAAAACAGCCAGCAACAAAACCAGAATCTACAATTGCCTTCACCAGCCTTCAGATACATTGTCTTTCATGGTCTCCCAACCAGCATAGCTGGCTGAGAGATAAAGAGTCACATTCCAAAAATATTTGGTGGGCACCAGGTTGGAGAGGACTAGTCTACCATATATGGCATTCCCCAACCTTTAATAATGAAATCGCATATGCTGCTGCCTCTTCCATCAGATACCTGTCAGTCAACATCTGTTCATGCAACTTTTCTAAGACATTCTGGTCTATACACTGTGATTAAGGAGAAGGCACTGCAGTTACACTAAAATTATACACAAACGCATATATGTGCTAAAAATTATGCAAATTAACTGGCAAGTCTCTTAAGTTTCAATCTCATAAAAATAACTTCTGAAGAGTAACTTTTAAAAAATACGAGTAGTTTGCCTTCTTTGATTTCATAGCGCCGAAGAACCACCTGCACTTTCTGATGGTTGTCCCGACTTCTGAATTCCAAAAAGCCTCAACTTAAAAACAAAAACAAAACCAGTTTCTAGCCCTCATCAAAGGGCTATCCTTCTAGACACAGTATCCTTCTAAACACAGAGATCTCCAAAATATCTAATACGAATGGGATTGAGCTACAGAGTGGAAGCCATCAAATGAAAACACATTAGCAGCAGTCACTAGTGCGACCAGATGAGAAAAAGGAATTGATATACCACTTTTTTGCAGGCTTCAGACCCCTCCACCAAAAACATTTGGATAAAAGAAATGGTGAGCTGCCACTCTATGAAGTCTCCGGAGGTGGCATTTTATCTTTTAATCAAGTTGCAGGGTCCCTCGCCTTCACAACACTGGGGGGAGGCAATTACCAAGCAGGAAGAATTGATCCAGATTTTTCTGACTGTTTTTCTCCAACTTTTCTGACACCGATGGGACTTAGGAGTGGGCATATGGTGCCTGAATCCCTATAAGCTATTTACAGCGAGACTTAGGAGTGGGCATATGGTGCCTGAATATTTATTTACAGTGGTGCCCCACATGACGACGATAATCCGTTCTGTCAAAATCGCTGTACAGCGCAATCATCATGCAGCGAAATCATCATCATGCGGAAAAAAACCTCACTTAAATGCATTGAAAACCAGTTAATGCATTCCAATGGGAAAATGCCTCCAGCGAAGATCACCCATAGAGAACCGCCGATCAGCTGTTTAAAATCACTGTCTTCCGAAGCTTCTGTCCGGAAAACAGCCATTTTGCGAAGGGAGGGAAGCCATTTTGCAAAGGGAAGCCATTTTGCAGAACCAGAAAAATCATCGTTTAGCAAACAAACAGTTCGTGAAGCAGGGACCTAATCAATGTAAAGCAGATTTCCCCTATAGGAGCTATCGTTTTGCGATCGCAATAGTGATCGCAAAAAAGTCATCATCAAGCAATTTCTTTGTTTACCGGGGTAAGCGTCTAGCGGGGCACCACTGTATATTTATCCTTCGTCCACATTTCCTTTCACTTAATATAACCTCTCTAGTAGGCACCCTTCAGTCTCGAGAGACTATGGTAACGTGCTCTGAACAGAGGTCTCGGAACAGCGTCTAGTGTGGCTGAGAAGGCCAATACACCCATATCCTCATCATTCTCCAGACTGTCCGCCCAGCAACTCTCGGTAAGAACAACTGCCTGGAAATCTACCCTGCAGCAGCTAGAGCAGCTATAAAACATTTTAAAAACAAGTTAAGAAAAGATATTACACAATGACAGCTGTTGCTCTTATTAGAAGAAGCTGCAAGCTTCCCAACTATGATGGCAAGGTAGGATGGGAAGAGGAAAAACAGGTGTCTTTTTACTTCTTTTTCTAAAAAGCTATCAAAGAATTTCAATCTCATTAGAACACTTTTGAAAGAGGAGGGAAAACACACCATTTGGGGCTCTTCCCACCATGTGGTAAGGAAGGAAGAGAGAATGAACACTTCCCACTTAACTAGAACAGCCACAGCTTTCAAATCATTATTTATTTGTCTATTCAGAAAAAGATGGTTCTAAAATTACAGAAGAGGAGTGGCCAAAAGAGAATGATCATCAATATTTTCTGTAAAGTATGAAGGCTCAGTTCAAATACTGATAAAATGTAAGTATGTTTTACCACAGGATAATTGCATTACGAGTAGACATGATCAAAAAGGAAGGTATCAAGCCATACTATACCCAGTTTTAAAGACATTATGCATACCCTGTTTTCTCAAAAACAAGACCTAACCTAAAAATAAGCCCTAGTATGATTTTTTAGGATGCTCGTAATATAAGCCCTACCCCAAAAACAAGCCTGTTAAGTGAAGCCCCGCCCTCCAATCTAGAATAAATCTAGATTGTTGTACATGAAAAAAAATCCCCTGAAAATAAGCCCTAATGATTTTTTTGGAGCAAAAATTAATATAAGACCCTGTCTTATTTTTCGGGAAATATGGTGTCTTATTTTTGGGGAAACATGGTATAATGCACCTGTTACAAGAACTGCTAAGCGAAAGACCCATCTCTTCAGGCCTGCTTTTAAAAATTACAACTGAATCCCTGAACCCCATTTTAGCAGATAATTTTAATCTTTCCATATTTTAATCTTTTAATTTTATTTTAAATCATATATTGGTTAATTTGTCTTTTAATATTTAACTTATTGTGGTTTTAATTGTCTGAATGTTAATGTTGTGAGCCGCTGTGGGTCCCTTGTTGGGAGAAATGCGGCATGATGATGATGATGATGATGATGTCACTTAGTACCGGCTGCAAGACAGTAAGAGTGGAAATGGGTAGCATTTGGTTATCTGCTACAGGGAAACTAAATAGACATTTGGCCTGGTTTTTTAATATTTAACTTATTGTGGTTTTAATTGTCTGAATGTTAATGTTGTGAGCCGCTTTGGGTCCCTTTGTTGGGAGAAATGCGGCATGATGATGATGATGTCACTTAGTACCAGCTGCTAGACAGTAAGAGTGGGAGAGGGCAGCAGTTGGTTAGCTGCTACAGGGAAACTAAACAGACTTTTGGCCTAATCCAGAATAGCTCCTGCTATATTCTGTGTTCCAGAGCGCAAGCCATATAGAAGGCCTCAGAGCTCAACTTCTGTCATGGAAGAAACATTCAAAGTTTTGAGTTACATAAATTCATCATAAAGTTCACCAGCATCCCAGCAACAGTCAGACACAGAGAGATAAGCAAGGCAACTATTTTTAGTTAATTCAGATAGTTGATGGTCTAATCACAAAAATATCTGCAAATTAAAATGCATGTGTTTGTTATCTGTCACAGATTTGTACAAGAGGGATCTTCACGAAATAGCCAATGACCAAAGGCCCTGCTCTTCTGCAGTTATGCATCATAAAAACAAAGACTTCACAGATCTGGGAAAAATAAACCACTTGATATGAAGTTTACTTATTTCAGACCTTGGAAGCAAAAGATAAGGAATCTTTCCAGTGTAAAGCTTGTCGTTCTGCTTTAAGTGGCCTGCTGGTTGGCTGAGGACCCCAGGAATCACGCCAGTTCCACCAGCTCTGACCTAACATCATTGTAACAGCTGTCTCTACATTCGGAATTCCTCCTGCCATGTAAACAGCGCCTGAGCCAAGCCTATGGGTTCATATCTTCAATGCCCTTCTGCAATCTGCTGGAAAGATTTTCTTGAAACCGGAAGGGTCAGTGCCAAACTCTAAAGCAACACTGTAAATATTTATTTAGCGGACTGGTTGTCCAACTCTCTCTGCGTACCAACCTCACCGGCTCTTCTAATTCCAACCTTCTCTCTTCCACAACCCATTTTTCTTCCCTTCCAGAACAGCCAGAGTATTATCTTAGCAGCCCTACAATGCTTGTAGAAAACAAGTGAAGAAGCAGTCACCGTAATGCTCTACTTTTTCAAGAGAAAACAGCTCTCAGCACTGTGGTAACTGCCAGTATGTACACACAAACGTAAAGAAGCCTTTGCAACCAAAAGACACAATTACCAGGGTGGATTTGATTTAAATCTAATTGATTTAATTTGATTTAAATCATAATTTGAATTTTTTAAAAAATATGATTTCACCATTTAAATCAACATTTTGATTTTTTAAAAATTTACTGTATTTTTCCATGTATAAGACTATACTTTTGTCTAAAATCTTTAGACTAAAAATTGAGGGTTGTCTTATACGTGGAAGTAAGCTGAGGAGAGAACAAAAACAAGTGGAGGGGAAAGCAGGGATCAAAGCGAGCCTGCAGCGCTTTGATCCCTTTTCCCCTACACTTGCTAAGCTCCACTTAGATTTCTTAATTTTGGATTAGAAAAGTGGGGGGTCTTATACATGGAAAAATACGGTAAATCATTATTTTAATCCATTTGGTTTTTGAAAATATCATTTATTTTATCCACCCTGCCCCAAAACATCTCTTAATGGGGCTGCCAAAGGACTCATGACAGCATGATTGCAACAGCAGCAATTGTATGACTGCCAGCCTGGAGGAAGAAGGGGTAGGTGTGCATGTTTAATCTGACACTTGCCTGCTTATCCAGTGACAATTATGGCTCAGGAAAGATAAGCAGATGAGAGGGAAAGCAGCAACCTGTACAACCGTTCAAAAGGTTCAAAGTGGGAGCCAGCGAGGTCGAATGCGCACAATCAGCAAAATGGATGACAAACAAACAAGAGGCTGAGCATCCCAAACGGCATTCAAAACAGAGCCATGCATTTTCTACACCTAGTTCCCCCAACCTGAGGCTGTCTGGATGTTCTGAACTACAGCTGGCATCCTCCCTGACCATTTGGCCAGGCTGGCTAGAGCTTATGGGAGCAGCCGTCTGAAACATCTGGAGGGGGCCAAGACTGGAAAAATGCAATCTATGTGATAAAACTATCCATGAGCAGACAAACTACAACCTTAGAATTGCAGAGCCGGAAGGGAGATCCTAGGTATTATCAAATCCAGTCCCCGTCAAGGAGGCGCCGTAGGGAATTGAACTTCCAAGCTCTGGCTGTGCAAAATACAGTGGTGCCTCACTTAACGATTGCCTCGTTAAATGATGAGGAAGTTTTTGCAATCGCTTTTGCAATCGCAAAACGATGTCCTGCTTCGAGAACTGATTTTTCACTAAATGACGATTTAGAAACAGCTGATCGGCAGTTCTAAAATGGCCACCCACTGTGCAAAATGGCTCCCCGCTGTGTTTTCAGGATGGATTCCCCGCTTTCCAGGCAGTGAAAATGGCCACCCCTATGGAGGATCTTCGCTGGACGGTGAGTTTTCAGCCCACTGGAACGCATTGAACCGGTTTCAATGCATTTCATTGGGCTTTTTCTTTTTGCAAGATGATGTTTTCATAAGACAGTGATTTTCGCAGAACGAATTATCATCGTCGTACGAGGCACCACTGTAGAGGAGGTCCTATAAGTTCTCATTATGCAGTCATTTATTTGAGGCAACTGGGACTTATTCTGAACTACTTCGCAATAGCAGAGACAGAAGCTACATTCAAGAGACAATGAGCCGTCAATTGAATTTAACACCCCTCTTCTTGTGGAATCATCTAGTCTGGACAAAATTTGCTACTGGAGTTGAGTATTTCTCAACTGACCTTTTCTCACATTGAATGATCTACAGTCAATGCACACACGTATGCATGCCTCTGTAAAAATTTCAGCCTTGTTCCCCAATGCTTCATATTCTCACATTTAAGCGTAATACTACCGTATATGGTTCACCCACAAAAACAGACTTATCCAGATTTGGTATTATTGTAAAATATAAAGAACTAGGACTATAAAAAGACTTTGTATCCCCATATGTCTGCTACATATGGTAAGACATTGTCAGCATCTCCCAGCAACTGCTCCTTAATTGTCCACTGCTTAACACAGTGGTTCCCAACATTTTTTACTTCATGCCACTTTTTTGATTATGGAGAAACCTATTTTTATTTAGTTATTTAACTTATATCTCTTCACCTTTCCTTCCAGCTCATCCAACCCCGTTGTAAGAAACAATTCAGTAGATAACTTAGAATTAAAAGTAAACACAAACATTTAGTACAAAATTTACTTTAAATTAAGAACACACTGATGGCCACAATGATGATGATGATGATGATGATGATGATGATGATGATGATGATGATGATGATGATGATG